GCTCTTGACTACTCCCCCTTGACAAAGGAGCCGAACCTTCCACAGAATGGTGGGCACTACCATCCGATCCCGATGGCAGTGGTGCAGTCAGCACGTGGTGGGCAGCAGAGGAAGACGCATTCGTATCAGGTGCTGTCACACGGGGGCAGCGGACGGTCGAAGACAACGAAAGCTGCGAATGAGAAGCAGGATCGACGGGGTTCCCGACGAGTGTAGAAAAAGGCTCGTGTGCGATCCGAGAAGAGTCCAAGCTGACAACATCAGGAGAGTCTGGACGAATAGTAGAAGACGAAGTTCTTGTTCCTTCTGTAACCCGAGACGACGAGGTGAGCAGGGATGGACCGCTCGACAACTTACCTTCCTGCCGCCCACACCACAAAGGTACTGCCGAAATGGGTCTGTCATGTCCATTATCAGCAGGCGATGAGGCGGACGACGAGGAGGCGGGCCGAAAAACTAGATGTGATTTAGGAGCGTGGGGAGTATCCAGGCTGTTCACGAACATCTTGGGAGACTCCAAAACGGTGCACGGTGGTTGCTGTTGACGGTAGTACCGGCTGAACTCCGCCATCGGCTTGTCATTTCTTACCCGTCCAGCCCCTTTATGTCGAAGTGGAAGCCTCCGACGAGTGCTCTGTGTGTGAGGACTGTTTCGTGTCCGATGTGTCGGATGAGCGGCGGGCGCGTGCTCAGGGGTGATTTCGATGTGGGTTGCGTCCTGTAGGGCGTCTATACGAGGTCACGCGCTTTTTCCACCGACTCCAAAGGGTGGGATCTTTTTCCATACAGAACTTGATGTTATTGTTAAGCAAGCCGGTGGCGTTCACGAAACTACGATTACAGAATTTGAAGGAGTGGTCTTCTAAGCAGTTGAGGCACTTGCCCTTGTACAGTCGAAGCGCGTTGCGGCGTTCTTCAGCCGAGACCAAGGGGGTGAACAATGGCGGATCATTCTTGGTTAGAGCCGTCTCACTAGCGACGTTGTATACCTCTTGGAAGCGTCCTTGCAACGGCCAGTCACTGCAGTGCAACAGAAAAGGGTCCCGATCATCATTAGGTAGAGGGTCAACACTCATCACGGCGGCCGAAGACCCTTGGCTCCACGAAGGGGTCACCGTCGAACGCAACGCCGAAGAAGCTACAGCACGCGAAACCGCAGACGAACTCCTAGCATTCGTGGGAGATACCGAAAAGAAATCATTTCCATGCACCGCCGGCGTGTGCGCGAACGCACGCTAGTACAACACATCCCACATATCATCCAGACACGAAGCGTGTCGCCCAAAAGGGGCTTCCATGGAGAGCTGCTCATCCTTGTACACCTGCCCAGACACTACCGGAAACTGCTNATATAGCGATGAATGTATTCTCCGTAAGTCTCGCCGTTGGATACGCCAAAACTGCGAAGANGCAGACGAACTCCTAGCATTCGTGGGAGATACCGAAAAGAAATCATTTCCATGCACCGCCGGCGTGTGCGCGAACGCACGCTAGTACAACACATCCCACATATCATCCAGACACGAAGCGTGTCGCCCAAAAGGGGCTTCCATGGAGAGCTGCTCATCCTTGTACACCTGTCCAGACACTACCGGAAACTGCTTCAACATGGAGTCTCGAACAGCTAT